ATGAGATATAGATAGTAAGTGGTGAAAGATTTTTGGTCAGGGATTGATACTGTACTATAATTGTTGGAAACAGCATCAGACTTAGCTCTGAGACTTAAATGACTTTGGGCACATTTTGTACTTAACATCTCTCTGCTTCAGTTTTCTTTTAATTAGAAGTAGAAGTTATAACAATCTCTACCTCATAGAGTTATTAGGATTAGGTATAATACTGTAAGTAAACTATTTGGCAAAGTACTTGGTATTTAAGAAAACATTGATTTATATTTGTGTTAATTAAAATAAGTTGATGTCTAAGCAATAATTGCCAACAACTCTTTAAAAATACTACACAGTTGTACCTGAATTAGGGAATCATAAATTAGATGGTTATGATGGAGGTGCTTAGAGTTGAGATAAGTATGAACAGGGAAAGAAAATAATATTTTTTTAGAAATTGATGCGATAAGATGGAGTTACAAATGATAAATGAAGTGAGATGAGTAAAACAACATTTCAAGTTTACATAGGGGAATGGTGTTTCCACATACACGGGAATCTGGAAGCTGATGTGAAGTTGAGCGAATAGCATGAATGAGAATAATAAGTCTGGTTTTAGAAATATGATTGCAAATATGGGGTGGGGAAAGCCCAAGTAAAATTAAGTACCTGTTGCTGGAGTAACTCATACAGTCAATACCTACTTAAAAGGTATTAGAAAATCAAATGGTGTTCCTCACTGCCCAGCCAGCCTGTGTCTCCAGTAGGGTGTGTCACACACTCCCTGGAATGGCTATTTCATACTTTTCTTTGTCCTCAAGTACCCTGCATCCTCTTTTCCATCCTTGCTTTCAGCTTTTGGCCTTGCCTCATAATTTTTAATTTTGTTTGTAAGAAGCTTTCAAATCCAAACTTCCTTCCATCCTCTTCCACCAACTCTGTGTACTTCCTTGCAATTGTGCTCATATTCTCTACTGTGAGAGTGGAGGCAGGCTCTCTCATAAAGCCAATTCCTTCGCTTAAATTTTGGTTTCATTCCCTCGCACGTCTTAATGAATACCTTCTTTGGGTTATTCCCTTCTTTTTCCTGCGTTATCAAACTAGCATCTCCCTGAAATATGGCAGGTCAAGTTAGAGTTGCAATAGAAACTGACTTTTGGCTACCCTATTGCCCCTTATAACTCAAAACTTTACATCACCATTCCAGAACTTACACTGACTCTATATAATTCACTTTTCCCACCACCATCCACTCCTTCCTGGAACAGCTACGTTTATGATAATTTATTTTTCTTGTCTTATTTTCTTTTCTCCAGCTTTCTCCATCTCAGTAAATGACATAAGACAGACTGAAAATCTAAGTTCTTTCCCTAAGACCCAAATTTTTTCTTTAAGTTCTGTTGTATCCCCAAACTTTATCTCAGATCTGATTATTCTTTTTCCAATTACCCTTCATTATTTGAGTCTTAAGTCATGATCTGTAGTTTCTTGGACCCTACATATAGCATTTTCCACATAAAGGAGTGATCTTAAAATGTAACCCAATAAGGTTTTCACTTCCTTACCTCAGTAGCTTCACCACAGCTCCTGGGTAAAATCCACAAATCCTTAGCATGTTTTATGATGCCTCTTTCTCTAACCTCATCTTATGCCATTCCCTTCACTCTTTACTGGAGCAGCTGTACTGGTCTGTCTTTTAACTCCAGTACCTTTTACCTCCTCATGTTGCTCACTCCTCATACTGAAACTTAAATTTCAGTTTCATAGGGAGGGATTCTGCAACTACTTTGCATAGGGTAACCTCTCCCCCCCTCCTCCCGAAACGCACTTTTTCTTACATTACGAATGTAATCATTCTTTACATTTGCCCCATATTTTTTCTCCTCAAAGCACGTATCACAGTTTGTGGTTGGTCTTTTTTCTGTCTCTCCTATTAGAAGCTTCATGAGGGCATATCTTGCTCAATATTTTATTCTTACCATCAACCTCAGCACCTGGAACTTGGTAGGATCTCAGCTGCTTTTGTTGAATTAATGAAAGTCCTTTACGTATTTGCAAATGTGAAATTGAACTTTGTCTGAAAGACTAAGACTAGAGATTTTTTGAAATCATCAACAGAAGTAAAAGATTTAAAAAGCACAATGTTCAGAAGAGAGTATTGAGAGAAAAGAGAGCAGTGAGCTTTGTGACTAGGCTATAGAAAGGCCTCATAGGATGTGAAAGGAAAAAAGAATTGTGTAATTTGAGCATAGAGTCTCAAGGAAATCTCAAATGAGGTACAGCAAAAAGTAAATGGATAAAAACTGTTAGAAAAAGCATAAGGTGCTTGTTTCTCTAAAAAAGCAGTTTTAGTAGAACAGAAACTATAATTTTATTTGTAGAGAGTTTGAGTATATTAAGAAAAAAGGAGCCACTATGTATAGATAACTTGTTTAAGGCAGAAATAGAATGGCCAGTGAAATCTCTAGTAAGCCAAACAAATCTAGATGTAGAAGAAATAGATGGAAGTTTTCAAACTAAGGATATCTAATGATTCTGTTGATTGTAGTAAAAGTTTAGATGAACTAACATAAAATACCTGAATTTTTAATTGAAATTATTGAACTATTAAAAAATTAGTTCTTAGAAGACTCTCAAACTCTTACTTGAAATTGTGTAATTTTTGCATCTCTTTGGTCAATATATTTTAGTAACTTTAAAATCGTAAGGTAGAGGTTGAACATAGGTAAGATGGAGGTGAAAATAACCTACTGTTCTTAACCTTTTCCTTTCAGCTGGACAGCATGAAGTTGTAGCTATAGGCACAGGTGAATACAATTATAGCCAGTGCATTAAGCCAAATGGAAGAGTGTTGCACGATACTCACGCTGTTGTTACAGCAAGAAGGTCTCTCCTTAGGTAAGGTGACAAATATATTTAATGCTATCAAACATTAATGCTTTCAGCCCAAAGTAACCACATATCAGTGTCTTTATTTACAAATCACTGAGCCATGGATATGACATTCTTTTCCTTATGCAGGTCATCTGATTATTTCCATGTCATTTTTGAAAACCTTACAGTAACTGCAGTGTCTATAATCTGTGGATTTTAGTGGCTTCTATTATCAAGACCTTATGAGTCCATTTTAAGAGTCCTGCAACTTTTTTAATATGACATGTTTATCACTGATCAAAGTAATTAAGAGTATATAGCTTTAGATCTGGACCAAGTTGCCTTGGTAATATTTCACCCCTAAATTAGCCATATTTACCCAAAGTATTGCCAGAAAACAGTAAGTTTCCATTCATGAAGTCTATGCAAAGTTTACTATATAGCAGCATATAGATAAGGTATTCTTTTTAAGTTGTAATATAGTTGACATGTACAGTATTATACTATTTGCATGTTAGTTTGCAACACTCACTGCACCCACCACCACCATAGCAAATATGGTTACCATCTGTCACCATACAAAATTATTACAATATTATTGACTCTGTTCCCTATGCTATATTTTCATCCCCTGACCTATTTATTTTATAACTATAAGTTTGTATAGGCTGGCAGATCTTAGAGAAATAAGGGGAACTTGGATGGCTCAGTCAGTTTATCGTCCAACTCTTGATTTTGGCTCAGGTCATGATCTCAAGGTTCATGAGATTGAACCCCACATCAAGCTTTGTGCTAACAGCACAGAGCCTGCTTGCGATTCTCTCTCCCTGCCCCTCCGCAACTCACGCTGTCTCTCTGTGTCTCAAAATAAATAAATAAACATTTTTTTTTTAAATAGAGAAGGAAAAGGGCTGAGGTGAGGAGGCCTACTTTCTTCTTCCAAACTCATCAGTCACTCTGCTCCTTGTGAAAGGAGTTAATAGCAGGTAGGAGGGAGAAGTCAGGAAGGTTACTCGCTGGAAGTTCCTTCATATGAAAATATGAAAAGTAAGAAATGTGTTACTTTCTCCAGTGTCTGCCAGATTTTGGTTCCATTAAGACATTAAGCTTACTTTTTATAAAACTTTTTTGTGGAAATATTCAAACACTAGGGAGAATAGGATAATGAGTTCCATCATTCAGTTATCAGCATTCTCATACCAATATCCAATCATCAGCATATCCAGTTATAAGCTTCCTTTTTGTTAATTAAAAAGAAAACTTTTTAAAATGTTTATTTATTTTTGGGAGAGAGAGAGAAACAGAACATGGGTGGGAGAGGGGCAGAGAGAGGGAGACACAGGATCTGAAGCGGGCTCCGGGCTCTGAGCTGTCAGCACAGAGCCCCACACAGGGCTCAAACCCACAAGCCATGAGGTCGTGACCTAAGCTGAAGGACACTTAACCAACTGAGCCACCCAGGGGCCCCCAGTTATCACCATTCTGCATTTAATCTCTGCATCCTCATTTTTTGTTGGTGGTATTTTCTCTGCTAGAGTATTTGAAAATATATTTAGACATTAGTTTGTCTAAAAAACTTAAGCACGTATCTCTAATTATAAGGAAAGAATCCTATAATCTTAAAAGATAAGTTTTAGGGAAGTCCATGAAGGTAATGGAACTCATTGTTCTCTAATCCCCATTGGTGCTTATTGAATTATTTGACCTCTTTAAAATTATCTGATATGTGTATTTCTTCCCATGCTTGCCTTGTTATATACTGGTGCTTAATTTTTCATTATTTCTGAAGGAAGTACTAAAATCATGTTTTTTATTTAATAAGCAAAATAATATTTGTCTCCTGATTTGATTAGTATTCGTTTTTCAGGAGATCGTTTCACTTCTATAACTTACGGTTTTCATTGTACTGTTCTGTACTCTTGTGTTTTTGTCTTCACAACCGCTAAGAAACAGGAACCACAGTTGTTTGTTTTGTCAGGAAGAGGAAATAGAAATAAGACAGAATATTGACACCTCATGCAGGAGGCTGAGAACAGAACTTGTGAGAAAAGGAGGAATCAGTGGAGAAATGTGTATTTTGCAGGATATGACAGTTGCAGACTCAAATGTGAAATGAGTGGAGTGGTAGTCAAGGAATGGTGCTTTAAGGCAAATCACATGGCAGACTGGGCTCCAGCTGAGGAGTTCTCATACAGTTTAACTCTTCATTAAAAAAGACTAAAGTTATTTTAGGAGCTCTTATCAGGTATCAAAACTTTCAACACATAGGGAGAGACATTGCTCACAACACATATATAGATATGATACTTAAGATATATAATTTAAAAATTCTATTACTTGGTAAAGTTATAACCCCTTTATTTTAGGTACTTTTATAGACAACTTCTGCTCTTCTACAGCAAAAATCCTGCTATGATGGAAAAATCAGTATTTTGTACAGAGGCAGCTTCTAATCTACTCACTCTCAAACAGAATGTCAACATTTATCTCTATATGAACCAGTTGCCTAAAGGGTCAGCCCAGATTAAGTCACAATTGTAAGTATTATAGAAGTTATTTCTCAAAGCAGTGAGGATGTCTATGTCATATATTCTGAATACATAACAGCAATAGAACAAGTAACTTCGTATCTATCCTTGTTCTCCCTCTGCCTTGAGGTGTTATTTGTGGCTAGCTAGAGGCCACAGATTCTTTGTCCCTCCCCTCCACTTAATCTCCTCTACCTTACCACTTTCTTTCTATGCTGTTGAAAATTTCCTTTCAAGTTTGAAGACTTCATAAACAGTAGGGAAGCATGGATTTATGCACTCTTCACATGTTATTACAGAATCAAGAAATGCAGTTTGCTTTTCTGGTCGATCTGTGGCCAAAACTTCATTATCTTGATGAATGGGTAGCATCAGAAATTTAAACAGTACAGACACGCACAAAGGAGAAAGCAAAATTCACTTCAAGTCTCACCATATAGAGATAATAATGGTTAATATTTTGTTAATAATTCTTACAGTTATACCTTTGAAAACAAGGGCAAGGAGTATTCCTGGAGGGAAAATTCAAGAAAAACTATTTTACATTTTTTAACACATTTTATTGGAAAAGATCTTGAACACAAATTGTCAGAATTTTTTTTTTCATTCTCTTTGTAGTTTAAAAAAATATTCATACAGAGAAAGAAAATAACTTAGGAACTGTGGTAGGAACAAAAATTAGGTATTCATTTGATTTTAAGGGACACAAAGAAAGTAAAAAGAATTTATCTTTGCCAGAAGCTCTAAATATGGTTAATTTATGTTTGGTATTAATCTTATAGAACTATGTTACTCCATTCCTACCTTGCTTTGGTTTTGCATCTATTTCTGTTCGTGAAATTAAATGAACACTGGCAAGTTAAACATGTCTGAAAAAAATTCTATTATTTTAAATAATAAAATTTATTATTTTGAGAGAGAGCATGCATGTGTGAGCAGGGGAGGGGTAGAGAGAGAGAGACAGAATCCCAAGTAGGCTCCATGATGTCACCACAGAGCCCGATGTGGGCTTGAACTCACAAACTGTGAGATCACGACCTGAGCCAAAATCAAGAGTCAGATGCTTAACTGACTGAGCCACCCAGATGCCCCCCATTCTTTTTTTATTTTTTTTAATTTTTTTAATGTTTGTTTATTTTTGAGAGAGAGAGAGAGACATAGAGCACTAGTGGGGGAGGGGCAGAGAGAGGGAGACACAGAATCCGAAGCAGGCTCCAGGCTCTGAACTGTCAGCACAGAGCCCTATGTGGGGTTTGAACTCATGGACTACAAGATTATGACCCAAGCCAAAGTCAGATGCTCAACCGACTGAGCCACCCAGGCACCCCACCCCCAGTTCTTAAGTACATAAAGATTTTTTAAAGTTTTAATTTAAATTCCAGTGTAATATTAGTTTCTGGGGTGCAGTATAGTGATTCACAATTTCCATTCAGCATGCAGTGTTCATCACAAGTGCACTTCTTAATCCCTATCACCTATTTATTCCATCCCCCCATCCACCTACACTCTGGTAACCATCATTCTCTACAGTTAACATTCTGTTTCTTTGTTTGCCCCCCCACCTTTTCTCACCTTTGCTCATTTGTTTTGTTAAAACACTAATTGAGCTTAAATTCCACGTCTGAGTGAGATCACCTGGTATTTTTCTTTTTCTGACTGACTTTCACTTAGCATAATACTCTCTAGCTCCATCTGTGTTGCTGCAAATGGCAAGATTTTGTTCTTCTTTATGGCTGAGTAATATTCCACTGTTTTTTTTTTTTAAAGGGATAAAACTTTTCTTTTTCTAGGCGTCTTAATCCACATTCTATATCTGCATTTGAAGCCAATGAAGAGCTGAGTCTCCATGTGGCTGTTGAAGGCAAAATTTATCTGACTATCTACTGTCCTGCAGATGTTGTTAATAGAGTAAGCAGTATGTCTTCAAGTGACAAATTGACAAGATGGGAAGTGCTTGGTGTACAGGGAGCATTGCTGAGTCACTTTATACAGCCAGTTTATATCAGCAGTATACTTGTTGGTGAGTGGGATTTCAGTACCTCCTGACCTCTTTTACTAAGTAAATATATTAATCAGTGTAAAACCAGATTTTTGCACTCTTGAGCCTTTATTTAAGGTAAAAAACACATTCACTGTTTTGTTGAGATTTTCATTTCATGGTAGCTTATAATCATACTTAGTATAATATGACTTCTGCTTTCTTATCAGGAGGAGAAAAATTAATATTTTAAATTAGCCACTTAGATATATTATACCTTAGATACATTATACCTTGAACTTATACTTTTGTTTGCACAATATTTAATTATTTTTCCTTTTCTTTTAGAAAAAGGTGTTTCCTTGAACTTCTCAAATCTAAAAGTTTGTCTTTAGTTATCCTTGAAGTAAGAAAAAATATTAAGTGCCCATTTTGGGTTTTTTCCTACCTTTTTCATGCATTTGGTTATGATCTGGATCCTTTAAATTGGTCAAATGAGTAGGAAGTAGCTAGAGCACAAGATAAATAACATGAATTAGCAATTTACTTCTTTCTGTGGTGGGAGGTATTACAGAATGCTGTACTTATATTTGAATGGTTATTTCAGGCATTATTTCAGTAAACAGTTTTGGGGCTCAGTTTTATAGTTTTCATAAAGCCCTAGGTATTGCAAAACTTTAATTCCCTTGTGAAACACTTTAAATTATACTGTTACTTGGTTCTTCTTTGCTTACCATTTTTAATAACAGTTGCATGTACAAGCTTTAGATCCTCACATGGGTAAAATTTTTGTTTTTAGTGGTACTATTTCTTATATTTTTTCTTGTTTTTTTTTTTTGTTTGTTTGTTTGTTTAGATATACCATTTCTTAGAAATTTCTCTTACAGGTAAAACTTTTTCAGTTCCATGTGTATATAAGATTCTGTATTTTCTTCCTATTTTTGTTTGGCTTTAATAAATTGTAAAAAGGAAAATGATTATTTTTTTTTTAATTTTCTAATATTAACCTTATTTTCTTTGTATAGGAAATACATTATTTGATTCACAATTCAAAAGATTCAGGAGGGTTTTCAGTAAAGCTTCTCTCCCATCCTAGTGCCCCAGGCACCCAATTTACTTCTGTGGCATTCATTGTTACTAGTTTTTTGTTTTTCTTTCCAAAGATAGTTTATGCTTATAGAAATAAATGAATACATTCTTTCCTTTTTCTTCTCTTTTCTTTTCTTTTCTATTCTGTATTTTATGTGAATAGATGATAACAGCTCATATTATTTGCACCTTTTTTCATTTAATAATGTATCTTGGAAGTTTTTCCATGTTGAGTATGTAAAGAATTTCCTCATTATTCGTGGCTCACTGTGTAATATTTCCTTGTATAAATGTATCATAATTTATTTAACCATTTTTAGGTTGTGGTAATTTTAGGTTGTTTGTAGGGTGGTTTTTTGTTTTTTTGTTTTTTTTGCCACTGCCAAAATGCTACAGTGAATGACCTTTTTATATTTATTATTTATGCATGTAAAATATATTACTAAGATGAATTCCTGGAAGTAGAATTGCAGGCAAAGAAGTATGCATTAGCAGTTTTGAAAAATATTACTAAGTTACCCTCCAAATCATATTGCCCCTGGTAAATATGGCAGTGCCTGCTATTCTTATCCTCAAAAGTGCTTACTTCTAAATCTACTTTTTCCAAATACATATTCATATAGATGATACATTTCTTAGATTTAACTTAGTTACCAAGGTTCTTTGCAATATTTTCTTTTAGTCAGGTCAGATACTCTCTCAGACACTTAAACTTTCCTCAGTCTCCTTTAAGAAAGGCTCTTTTTCTTTTTGAATGTCTATTAAGTATCTAAGAATTATCTATGCTTTCTCTAGAATCACAGCTTTCTTTGACTCTGATGAGGAAGGTATTTTAAAATATGTCATTTATATGACATAACTCCATACTATATTTAGTTTCTCAAAAGGATGGATATAGGTTCTTGTAAAATTACTTGGAATTTAGCTAGTGGTTGGGGCGCCTGGGTGGCTCAGTCTGTTGGGCGTCTGACTTTGGTTCAGGTCATGATCTCACAGCTTTTGAGTTTGAGCCCCACATCGGGCTCTGTGCTGACAGCTCAGAGCCTGGAGCCTGCTTTGGATTCTGTGTTTCCCTCTCTCTGTCTACCCCTCCTCCGCTCATGCTCTCTCTCTATCTCAAAAATAAATAAACAATAAAAAACATTTTTTTAATTAAAAAAAAAAGAATTTAGCTAGTGGTTTAGGATAGGAACTTAAAAATCTTGTCATTTTGAGTTCATCTTGCACCTAGCAATGGGGAACACCAGGTAACGATAAAACACTATATAAGACTTTGTAAAATTGTTTCTGCTCTCTTTTCTTGGCATCTTTGTGGGACACATCTAAAGCTAACTGATGTTCTGTCTGGTATAGTCTAAATGATTTTAATGTGTATAAGTTTGTAACAAAGGCACATTTTTGGATTTCTTATCATCTCTATTTTGTGTCTGGTGGAGGAGGTAGGAAGTTTTGAGGCAGAGGAATATACATTTTAAAAGAGCACCATTGGGTGATTCTTATACAGATGATGTGAATGGCTCTTTGAGACATACTCATTTAAAGTGTCTGTACACTAAAAGAATGTGATTTGGAGAGCTAAAAGAATCCTGAGTTCACTGAACTGTATTAGTAGTCTAGTATAGCTGCTCACTTAATAATAAACTCTTTTTATGTCATTCCTGATAGAGGATCATCTGACCTTAGTTTAAAAGCATCTAGTAATGTGGAGCATAGGATTTAAAGCCAATCTCTTCTATTAATTGAATAGCTCCAATTCTTTTAAAAACGAATTTCTCCATATTTATTACTTCCCTTTAATTAAATCTAGTTCTTTGAGAATAGTGACCTCATCCCATTCTCTTTTAATAAGTCTCATGAAAGTTTTTACAGTTCTTTATTTTGATTCTTAAAAACCTAATTTACTAGATCAGTTACCAATGGAGAGTATTATATTTTAAGACTTATTTAACATTTTAAAAAGTTAACAGAAACAAATTTTATGTTCTAGATATTGTCAGATATTTATCATTTTATGGTAGTATTCTTTTTCTTTTTTAGGAAAAAATCTTAGACTTGCATTTAAAAAGACATTTACTATTATTTGAATAGAAAGCAATCCAGACTAATATGGAAGAAATTTCACTTTGCTTAGGTACTTAAAAACAGCTGGATTTATATTTTCAAGGTTTTTAAGATATATTTTGCAAATTTGTTATTCTGTTAAGATAAGGTCATCTGTCTAAACATTTCAAGAGTGTTTGTCCAGAGGTATTCCCATCCAGGAGTGCTTTTCATATGCTGATTTGAATTGTACATTTGGATTATAAAGAATACTAATTGCTGATTCCCTCCTGTTGAAACTGTTTTAAACATAGATTTAAACATTTCATAACCTTAGAGATTATGTTACTCCTTTTTTTTTTTTTTTTTTTTTTTTTTTAAAGATCAGTGATTGGAGGTTCACAATGTTAATAAAAGACTTGCCCAAAATCATTCAGTTTGCCTATCGGCAGAGCCAAGACTCAAACCTAGTCTTATAACTTCTCATGCTGGTGCTTTTTTTTATTAAATTGAGCTCTGACAGCTTTGTCTGAGCATAGCCAGTGACTAGAATTTCACTGCTATGTCTCTTAAACTTGATGGTCTTGAAGGCAGATGCTATGCCACACTCATCTTGGTCTGGATTATGTTCCCTAGAACAAATGTAAATGTTTCATGAATAAATGGTTTGAGTCAGCATGTTTTATTGTTGAAAGTGCTTTTATTTTTCTACTTAAAACGTATTCTGCCTGGAACAGTTAAAAAATAATTTTTTTTTAATTCTTTGCTCTTGTTATATTTGATGATCATCTGGGAAGCTTTTAAAATAATATGGGAATTAAGCATTGGTATTAATATTCCAATCCCTAGTGATTCTAATGTGCGTCTAGAATTGATAATTATTGCTTTCTGGCAATCTAATCTTTATATTCCTTTTTCATCAGGTATTTATTGAGCCACCTACTAAATGCTAGGTGCTGTGTACTGTTGTGTTACCCTCAGTGGTGCCCTTTGTGTAAAATACAGAGTGAGTGTTATGAATACACACACAGGATGCTTCTTGCCTTATGTCTTCTTCTAGCCACACATTTGTGTTTCACAGGAACGTGATTTGTTTTCTCCAGATGTTCTGTGGTATATGGGTGCTGGTGGTAACAATGTAATGCTTCAGAATAATTACAATGTTCTAAATGTCGTAGGACCAGTGCACAGTTCTCTAATGTTTGATTTAGATACTTCATTCTTATTCATGCAGCTTCAGTTTTTATTAGCTACTTCAGGAACCATTTCTTTTTTTTTTTTTTAATATATGTAATTTATTGTCAAATTGGTTTCCATACAACACCCAGTGCTCATCCCAAAAGATGCCCTCTTCAATGCCCATCACCTACCCTTCCCTCTCTCCCACCCCCCCATCAACCCTCAGTTTGTTCTCAGTTTTTAAGAGTCTCTTATGCTTTGGCTCTCTCCCACTCTAACCTCTATTTTTTTTTTCCTTCCCCTCCCCCATGGGTTTCTATTAAGTTTCTCAGGATCCACATAAGAGTGGACACATATGGTATCTGTCTTTCTCTGTATGGCTTATTTCACTTAGCATCACACTCTCCAGTTCTATCCACATTGCTACAAAGAGCCATATTTCATTCTTTCTCATTGCCACGTAGTACTCCATTGTGTATATAAAGCACAATTTCTTTATCCATTCATCAGTTGATGGACATTTAGGCTTTTTCTACAATTTGGCTATTGTTGAGAGTGCTGCTATAAACTTGGGGTACAAGTGCCCCTATGCATCAGTACTCCTGTATCCCTTGGGTAAATTCCTAGCAATGCTACTGCTGGGTCATAGGGTAGGTCTATTTTTAATTTTCTGAGGAAGCTCCACACTGTTTACAGGAACCATTTCTATTGATTTACATTACACTTATGGTAGATTATGCTCCTGAGAATCTTTTCTGTATAAAAAGCTGTCAAGTTGGGGCGCCTGAGTGGCTCAGTCGGT